AGAAGAAGAAGAAGAAGAAGAAGAAGAAGAAGAAGAAGAAGAAGAAGCCATCTTTAATGAATTAAAAAATCTGACTAAGAAAGAAAAGAGAAAGAGAGGAAGGAAAATGGAGGACTTAAGACTTAAAAAACACACCCAAGAAAGAGAAAAATGAGATGCAAAATCAATACAATGCCAGAAAGCAAAAGAAGAGAGGAATACAACAGAGAGGGGAAGGTAAAAAGGCGGAGGTTAGGAGGGGGGGGGGGTAAAAAGACTAGGTGGGATAAGAAAGGAAGGGAAAAGGGGGTAAAAAGCCACAAAGGTATAAAACAAGATGGGAAAAAGAAATTTTTTTTTAGGGACAAAGGGTAATGTATAATTTATAAAAAAAAAAAAGAATCTGCAAAAGTACATAAGATAGTATTGTAGTACTTGTATTAGAAATAGAAAATTAGAATTTTATAAGAACTAATAAAATATTAAAATATCAAAATGCTTAATAATGATAGATTTTAAGATTTAATAAAATATTAAAGGGAATGTTTAAAATATAGAGTTTATTGGCTCTCGTGTTAATGTTATTATAAACTTATTATTGTAGTATTTGTTTTTGAAATAGATAATTGGAATATTACAAGATTTAATAAACTAAAATATTAAAATGTTTAAGATTTAATGATAGATCTTAACATTTAATATTATTGAGAATGTGTAAAATGCTCAAGATTTAATGATAGAGTTTAATTTGTTATTCTCTTAATGTTATCATAACTTTTTTTCTTTCTCTTTTTTATTTTTTTTAGTTTAAAATGTATTATTTAAAATGTATTAAAAAATTAGAATGGTAATGGTAATTATTAGAAAGAAAAAAAGTTAATTATTTTATAGATTTATTATTCTCTTTTTTTTCTTCTTTTTCTTAAAATTTATTAGGTAGAATGTACTAAGCAGAATCAGATTGGGAACTAGGTATTATTCTAAATGTCAACTTAGGGGATAGAAAGGCATCATACTTCGATTAGTGATTCCAGGAGAAATCTTTTTTTTTTTTTAATATATTAAAGAGAATGAGATAAATGGATAATTGGAAAAGAATGGACAAAAGATACAAGTATAATGATTTAAAGTAAGATGAAATTAATAAAATAGAATTAAGAAGAGTGAAAAGCGGGGAGAAGTTATATAGAAGATATAGAATGGTAAATAAGATAAGTAATGGTATATAAGATGAGCATGAATTTAATTGAAGTCCGTACAAAGAGAGGTAACCTGGGGCCAAGCCACTTTCTAAAAAGAAGTTTTATGTTTTTGTGTTTTGTGTGTTTTTGTTTGATTAAGAATCAATAAAACCTTGGAGGAATGTCAGATGAGAATATTTGTAAACAAGTCAGATGAAAATATAAATATGATGGCTATAAAATAGATAAATATAGAAAAGAAATGTAATTGAATAAAAGTAAAGAGAAATAATGAGAAATTTCCTAAAAGATATTTATGTGTCTATAAGGAAATGGGATAAATTAGAATTATGCTGTATAAAATAATCTTTTATCTGCCGTGTAAAAATTTACAATGGAAAGAGGTTTTATGTTTGCAATGTTTAATGATGCTTTGTTTGTCTTTAAAATTAATAAAATTTGTTTCAAAAAAAAAAAGAGTGCTAATTTACCACCAGCTTATCAAGAATTTAGGAGCTGAGGACTTGGCACAAGGAAACAACAGCCAATGACTTACAGTAATAGTCCGCCATCAATACTCCAATCAACAAATAAAAGACACATACAACCAAGCACCACATAAACATTGCACATAGAATAGCCCAAAGCACACCTTCTAGTAGAGAGAAGTTCCCTGAGGATGGGGCCCAGCACAAAACTGAAAGCTTGAAAGACTAAATCTCTGGTCCCAGCGACCGACTCAGATTGGATCCTACAAAACAATATTAGTGTCTGATTAATACTAAAGGTTTCATACTTTTTTTGTTTAAATAATAGAAATTCTCTGTACAAATGTCTGCTGGACAACAAACTTCAGTGTTCAAAAAAGATACTGTCGCCTTGTTCAGAGCCCAGTGGAGTCAGGTTTTGTATGTTTTCCAACAAATCAAAATCCGGCAGCATCAAGTGTCTCTGCACAGTGATATGCTGGTACTGGTCCCCACTTGCAAGACTATTGGAAGTCTTCTTGGTGCCAAATAAAACCAAAGAAACTTCATCTTTATTCTCAGCAAATACCTACAGATTGTTGAAAAATGAAATACAAATACAAGGGAGCAGTGTAGACTTTACCATAAAATCCTTCATTGCTACAGCTTCATTTTCCCATTTTTCCTGCATCATATTGTATATAAGCTTTCGTGCTCAACTGCCAGCATATTGGGAAGATTGAAAGTCAATATATTGAAACAATTTTTTAATCTAAATAATAGCATGTTTAAAAAGTCTGCTTTCATTGGGTAAAAAGTATTTTTAAAAAAACCAATAGTCATCAGCTTCTGGGTTGTAAAACAACACATTGCTTTCTTCCTTCTGCATCAAATGACTAATAAAATAAATAATGTTAGGATGTGAAAGAAGTTATCTTCTTTAGTTTCATCTTTATTTACTGCATATTTCTGCTTAGGATAACTCTGGGGAATGAGATACAAATGCTGCGGTAGAAGAAATGTTCATGAAGCACATGCACCTCCTTCTCAAGTGGCTGAAAAATGTCAATTTCCCACCAGCACTTCACTTCATTAACCCAGAAGAGGCTTGAAGCTAGGTTTCACCCAAGGCTTTCAAGTACTGGACCGTAACATACATCCGGTTATACTGTGCCACATCTCCCTAATAAACATATTTTCAGCTAAGCACTGCAAGAAATGTGCAAGAGCTTCTGCTGAAGACAGCCTTTTCTCCAATTTGTCTTCCACCCTCTAAGATTTGATATTGAGGTTTTCCTAACATCATGGCACCCATGACAATAGAGTTCCTTGACTCTCTAGAAGAGGGGTGTTAAACTCGAGGTCCGTGGGCTGGATCCAGCCTGCGGGGTGCTTAGATCTGGCCCATGGGGCGGCCCTGGAAACAGCAAAATACTGGCCCACAGTGCCTCTGCCTGTGAACATGGAGCTTGGGAGGACTGTGTGCGGCCTTCCCAAGCTCCGTTTTCACTAGCAGAGGGTTGCAGGAGGCCACTGCAGCCAAAAACGGAACTCACAAGGGCCACAGAGGGCCCTCCCGAGCTCCGTTTTCACTGGCAGAGGGTTGCAGGAGGCCGTCGCAACTGAAAACAGAGCTCGGGAGCCCATTTTCGCTGGCAGAGTGGTCTGGACACCACAGGCAACCCCAACCTGAATGATGTCGAGCTGGCCACACCCACCCTAGCCACGCTCACCCCAGCCCACCGAGGGCAAACACAACCCTGATGAGGCCGTCAATGAAATGGAGTTTGACACCCCTGCTCTAGAACAACTGACTGATGGCTTCCAGAAGTAGCAAAGTGACACCAGAAGCCATCTATTAAAGAAACATAAATTTAAACAGACTCAGTTGCAGTTTGCAATCATCCTTAGTGATTTCTTGTTTATAACAACTTATATCATTATTGGTGTCCTTCTTTTACCTGTCGCCGCACAAACATTGTTATCACTTTCTTGGCTTGTTCAAAAGGAGACTCCTCTCCAGGAGCGGAATTGCTCATTGAAAAACCAACATCCATGCATAGCACCACAGCAGTCTTTGAAGGGAAAAGAGGCACAAACATAGATGGAATAAGATTAATGACAGGTAGATGACATAATGCAAACACCTACACTTAGTCCTTGTTTGGTGACCACAATTGGCACTGGTAACTTGGCTGTTACCTGAAGCAGTCATGATCTTACTTCAGCTTTCCTTTGCCTTACAGACTTGCAAAGGCCATAATGCAGGCACTGGTCACAAAATTATTTTTCCATCACCATCATAACTGTGAATAATTGCTGCATAAGGCAATTGCAAAACAAGGGGTGCATTTGTATTTGCTGTATTGCTGTAATTTATTTATGGTACTCAGTGGAGTTTTCTTGAGTAACAATATTTTATATATACAGTATACATGCCAGGTACAAAAAGATCAGGTCCATAGTGAAGGTTCAATTAAACTGATTTATTGTAAAAAGCCTATGCTCATCTCAACAAGGGTTAGCATCAGCTAGGAGTTAGATAAGGGTCAACAGAATTCAAAGCGGGTTGGACTTAATCTACTTGTGAGTATGTAGGGATTCTTGGTTGATCCTTGTTTCAACTCTGCCCCCAGGTTCTGCCACTGGTTATCTTACAATACAATCCCATTGCAAAGAAAGTTACAGCCCTATATGCAATCTCCTGAAAGTAAATACTGTACCTGTGAAATGTACTTCTGAGAAAACATTCACCTAATTATTCTATCAAACTATACAATAGTTTGAAAATGTTTATCTGTACCAGAAAAAACACCATAGAAAAATAAACTAAAATATTTTTAAAGGAGGATAAAAATCTATTCAATTATCTTTGCAGAATAAATTTTATTGCCATCAGAATAAAATGCTGTTTAATATGAAACAGCAAAAGTAAACATGGAATATTTCATTTCAGAGGAAGAATTTTAAAAAACCCTTCTCTTTATCTCTGCCTGCAGGGTATTTCTTTCTTTTTTCTTTAGGATGCACAATGACCTTATCCCAATGCAAATTTTTTTAATGTAGGGCCCACAAGGAATTATTTACTAGAAAAAGAAGCAGAACAAAAATAAAATATGCTGTATATATGAAGATAAAAGGCCCGGGAAAGTGAGATAATGCTGCTTTTGAAAAACACTCCATCTTTCTTCTTTTTCATAAATGTGAATAATATTCTCTTTTAAAAACATACTATCTTTACTTGTTAAAGAAATCACTACTCAAAATTCATAAATTCTTCTGAATACTTTTTGCTCAAATTTAAATGTACTACTTATAATACATTATACCCGTATTATTTTTTAAATCCTGTTGACTACCTTAAACAATAAGTTACAGGTAGTCCTCAACTTACAACAGTTCATTTAGTGACCGTTTGAAGTTACAAAGAAATTTTAAAAAGTGATTAATGACAATTTTTCACACTTATGACCTTCGTAGCATCTCCATGGTTGTGTAATTAACATTTGGATGATTGACAACTGACTCACATTTACGATGGTTGCAGTGTCCCAGAGTCATGTAGTCCCCTTTTGCGACCTTCTGACAAGCAAAGTCAATGAGGAAACCAGATTCAATTAACAACCATATTACTATTTTAACAATTGTAGTGATTCACTTAACAAATGTGGTCAAAAAAGTCATAAAAAGGGGCAAAACTCACTTAACAAATTCTTCACTTAAACATACATATTGGACTCCATTGTGGTTGTAAGCTGAGGACTACCTGTATTTGGGGTACCAATAATAAACAAAATAAAAGAGAGCACTAGCATTAAATATCCTAGTTCAAATCTCACCTCCTCTTCTATGGAAGAGGATAGCTCATGGATATGGATAGCTAATCCTACTCTGTTTATCCCAGTTGCTGCTTTGACTCAATTAGTCTGTGACTTTCACAGTAGAGGAGTTAAAACAAATTAACAAATTAAAATCCCTGTACAGTAAAACTAGTCTCATCAGTGACAGGATTTAAAAGCAGTTTCCTATAAATAATGAAGCTGCTGCTCAAAACTGGTATTTAGCCAAAAAAATTCTCCAAAATGGATGCACCAATATATTGGAATATTACAAAGCCCCTTGAGTTGACTGCTACTCTACATCCTAAAGTTAATTTCATACTTGAATCCAATCAGTTTTGGTACTGAAACTGCCATGCTAGGATGACATTTGCCAGAAGGAAGAACAAAGTACACCATGGCTAATTATATAGGACATCCCAACTTTCTTTATAAAAACATCCACTCCTCAGCCTCCCTTCTCACTGAGAAATAGTTCTTGCTCCCAATGTGGTCTGATTCTGGATAAATATGAAGATTGGTCTTTAACCCTAAACATTAAGGACCATTTTAACATATAGCAATAGCAATAGCACTTAGACTTACATACCACTTTATAGTGCTTTATAGCCCTCTCTAAGCAGATTACAGAGTCAGCATATTGCCCCCAACAATTTGGGTCCTCATTTTACCCATCTCGGAAGGATGGAAGGCTGAGTCAACCTTGAGCCTGGTGAGATTCAATCTGCCAAATTGCAGGCAGCCAGCAGTCAGCAGAAGTAGCCTGCAGTACTGCACTCTAAACACTGCACCACAGAGGCTCCTGTTAATATCCTTTTAAGTGGGTAAAGTCATTATTAGAAGGATCAAAAAGGCACAAAAGGAGATATTTTCAAGTTCTGCTTTTAGCTGTGTGTTAGGTTAGTTTGTTCCAAAGGCCGTCCTTCTGGAGCCCTTTAGATCAGGGGTCTCCAACCTTGGCAACTTTAAGACTTGTGGGCTTCAACTCCCAGAGTTCCTCAACCAGAGTTCCTGAGCTTTGCTGGCTGAAGAATTCTGGGAGTTGAAGTCCACAAGTCTTAAAGTTGCCAAGGTTGGAGACACCTGCTTTAGATGACTCACCGAGCTCCAACCTATTCTTTTCAACCCCATTCTTTCAATTCCAGGCTTTTCCTAGGAGCTGGTCACCTACCCCATGCCGCCTACATCTCTACATCTGCACCTTCAAATCAGCATTGACTCCTAGGATCCCTCCAGTTTTCTTGATAAGGTTTTCAGAAGTGGTTTGCCCTTGTCTGCTTCCTAGAGCTGAAAGACAGTGACTGACACGTGGGTTACCCAGCTGATTTTGTACCTGAGATGGAAATAGAATCCATTCTGGTTTCTAGCTTGGTGCTTAAGCATCCCATCACTCTGGTTCTCAGTGGTTCTCAGCTTTTCTCCCTTGGGTTAAGAGAGAGTGACTGGCCCAAAGTCACCAGCTGGCTTCGGTGCTTAAGAGAGGACTAGAACTAATTAGAATATGGAAATCTGCAAATGCTTTTTTGGGTGGGTTGGGGGTGGAGATATCTTTGACTCATAGTTGATTCCCAATGGCTGGCTGGACCAGTCCCTGCAGTTTTCTTGACAAGAGTTCAGAAGTGGCTTCCCATTGCCTGCTTCTTGTGGCTGAAAAAAAGGGAGCAGCCCAAGGTCACCCAGCTACTTTGTGCCTATGATGGGACAAAACTTCAGTCTCCCAGTTTGTAGCCTGATGCCATAACCATTATACTAAACTAGCCCTCATATCTATCATTATATATTTAACAATGTGAAATTACAGCTGTTGTTTGGCTAGTATTGGCCTTCAATCCCCTCAAGTTCTTCTCAAAAGACCTAGAATGTCATAATGTATTAATGTAGATCCCGACAATGGGGCCTTTTGTAATTTATTTTTATTTATTTATTTATTTTTGTCAATTGCTTACAATAGGTATAAGTAAAAACATAGTTATGAATACATGGATACATATAAGAAAAAAAAAAGAAACAATAGGAGAGGGACGGTAGGCACGTTGGTGTGCTTATGCAGGCCTCTAAAGACCTCTTAGGAAAGGGGTGAGGTCAATAGTTAGACAGTCTAAGGTTAAAGATTTTGGGGTTTGGGAAAGAAACCACAGTCAGGTAGAGTATTCCAGACATTGACCACTCTGTTGCTGAAGTTGTATTTCCTGCAATCAAGTTTGGTGTGATTAACCTTGAGTTTGTATCTATTGTTTGCTCTTGTATTGTTATGGTTGAAGCTGAAGTATTCATTGACAGGTAGGACATTGCAATGTATGATTTTATATACTATACTTAGATCGGATTGAAGGTGGCATAGTTCTAGGTTTTCTAGGTCTAGAATTTCAAGTCTGGGGGCATAAGGTATTCTGCAACAAGTAGAGGAGTGGAGAACTCTTCTTGTGAAATATTTCTGGACTTTCTTAACTGTGTTACTATCAGATACGTAATGTGGGTTCCAGACTGATAAGCTATATTCGAGTATTGGTCTAGCAAATGTTTTGTATCCTCTAGTTAGTAGTGTAATATTACCAAAGAAAAAGCTATGTAAGATTAGGTTAACAACTCTTAATGCCTTTTTGGGTATGTAGTTATAGTGGGCTCTAGCACTTAGATCATTAGAGATGAGTACTCCAAGATCCTTGACAGAGTTTGGATCATCAATAAGGTCTTGACTATTCGGCCAGTATTTTATTTTCTGATATATATTTTTTGCCAATATGTGAGACAGAGCATTTATTTGCTGAGATTTGAAGTTGCCATTTGTTTGACAATTCTGATACATAGTCAAGGTCTTTTTGAAGGGTAGCAATATTGTCTGTGGTGTTGAATAGCTTTACATCGTCAGCGAAGAGAGCGCGGTTGCTCTTGATATGATCACCTAATTGACAGATGGAAATTTTGTCAATGCACATATTTTATTATTCTTAAAATGTATTTTATATACAGATTTGATGATGATGATTCAGCCCGATTTCCCAGCAACAGACAAGGGACCCTTATCTGTCATTATAGCAGAAACTGCAGCATGAACTATCTCATTTCCTGGGGAATTCACCTCCGGCTTAATAGACACCTCCTGCTCACTTGATTCCCTACAATCTGTTACAACAACTTCCCTATGTAGTAGCGGGATCCACTTACACCCGTTTACTTCTAGTTCTCCTCCACGTTTCGAAAACTCTCGTTCACAAAACAAAGCGCTGTACGGCCGGGGGGCGGGGGGGCATGGGAGAGAAAACTCCAATCGCTAAGCGTCGTTGACTACAGAGCCAACATAGTGATGGTTAAAAGGGTAATCAATCCGCATCAAGGAGCCCCAACAAACGAGGAGGACGGTGATCAGTTGATCCAGGCTCCTGCATACTAAGAGGTTCCCTTCGTGATACCCGGATGCTGCTACCGCCGCCGCCGCCAGTGGCGGGAAATGCCAGACATTTATAAACACCCTGACCGCCAATCTTCCAGGTCTAAACCCGGTTTCTCACATTACCTTTCCCCGCGACATCCTGTAAAGTTCTCACGGTCTTCCGCCACAAACCCAGCGCCTCTTCCTTGTGGAGCCGCCTTGCTTTACGGCAGCGAAACTTGTCCCGCCTTCCTCGGGACTGAGAAATAAAGCCGACAGCGACGCTCGATGGCTGCGCCACGATTAAGAGAAGCTGGAGTGACTGGCGCGGCTGAGAAAGGAAGCAGCCGGAGGCCGCAGGACGAATAGCTGGCTGCAATGATGTCTGTGGAGATTGTCCATCGATGCCGGTCACGGTTGTCCCAAAGGCTGCTTTTTCCAAAAGGCAGCTGTACTTTTTTGGTTTGTTTTTTTCCTTTGAAAACCTTTAGCTTCCGTTAGAACTGAAGAAGCGGAACGTTTTCAAAGAAAACACCAAGAAAGTCCACTTGCCTTTTGGGAAAAAGCACCTTTGGAACAGCAGTGATGGATCTCTCAAAGTAAAGGCAACCCTGGACTGTTACTGTCTGGACTATAATGTTTCTGGCATTTAATAAATGCCAGAAACCGATAGCTTCCTTATGAGAAGCCCTACTGATAGTAAGGATCTATGTATTGACTGCAAACAGTATTTGTTTCATGAAATCTTTCAGGACATTTTAGCTCCGATCCTTATTTGCATAATATTTTCAGATATGTAGTTATTGGTGTAGTTCTTTGTAGGACTTCTTGCTGTTTATAACAAGATTGGAAACCCTTACTAATGCAGCAATTAAATATGTAATAGCCATCACACAAATCATTGAAACTAGTGAATTTACATGCAGTATAAATATTAATCTCAGATTAAGTTCATTTGGATGAAAGACATGCTTTCATGAGCATGCTGGTAAGAACAAGGGAGTAAATGACAACGTCTGTCATCTGATGCAGTTAATCTTGGCAGTGTTTGTGATAACGTCACTGTTCACATGCCCTTATTTTGGCATTGCTAGTTTCTTGCAAATATGACTGAAAATATTTTTTCAGATTGAGCTCAAATCTGGGGAAATTTCATGAACACATCCAGGAAGGTTGTTTTTTTTTTGACAGCAGTCCAGAAATGGTTAGCCATTTCCTTTGTGTGTGATTTCTTAATTTAGCATAAAACCCTAGAGTCTAGGTGTCTCCTCTAAGAGCAAACTAGGTCTTCCCTGAAAGTAGCTTTCAGAATATGCGACCTGCAGTGACCATTTGGCAATAGACAGTCCAACTAAAGAACCTTGAATTTCTTAATGGACTTGCTTAATTTTTTGGGGGATGTGGTTAATCTAAGCTGCAGCCTTCCATTCCTATAGTCTTGCTTACTTTTTTTTCTGGCACAGTGAATGTTGGCTAGGTACAATTCCTTGCAAATCTGAGATGCAACTGGGCCACTGTACAGGAAATTCTTGATTTACAATTATTCACTTAGCAACCATTCAGAATTACAACTGCATTGAAATTAGTGACTTATAACCTGTTGTTGCATTTACAACCATTGCAGCATCTCCATGGTCATGTGATAAAAAATCAGGCACTTGGCAACCGGCATGTATTTATGATAGTTGAAGTGTCCCATGATTGCCATGCACAATCTTTTCAGCTGGCTTCCCATAAGCAAAGTCACTAAGGGAAGCTGGATCCACTTAATGACTGTCTGATTCACTTAACAACTGCAGCAATTTCCTTAACAACCATGGCAAGAAAGATAATAAACTCAGGCGTAAGTCACTTAGTAAACACCTTGCTTAGCCATGGAAATTCTGGTCCCAATTGTGGTTAAGGTGAGGATTACTTATAAAGTTAAATATAAGACATGGAGCAAAAGGTGAACAAACGTCATTCTGACTTAGTACTGTACTGGGGTCCTTGGTGCTGTCTGAGCTTGCTTATTTTCTTGCAGATGTTTCATTACCCAAACTAGGTAACATCATCACTGCTAGTTTACCTAGTTTGGGTAATGAAATGTCTGCAAGAAAACAGGCAAGCACAGACATGTCAACCCCGAGATAAAAATATTCTTTTATTATTATTGTACAGTTACAGTATATACTTGCCAGGAAGCATCATGATATTAAACAGCATTTTTAGATTGTACCATTTCTAAACTTACATGTTTAGAAATTCTACCAAGATGAAGGAATCATGGATTTTGAAGGAATCTTGCTCATTTCCACTGACAAATGTGATGTCCATTTAAACAAGGCCTGATTTTGCCACACCCAGGTCTGAAGCAAGAGCATACTGCACTAAACTTTAAAATGAAAAACAATAACTTCTTGCTGTATCCAAAGAAAGAGCGTCTCATTTCAAGAATTGCAGCTGTGGCCTGAATCTGTATGAATGGATTCTGTGTGATGTTAAATAAGCCACTTCCTCCATGTTGAAGCAATGTATTCATTGAGACTCTGAAGCTTGCTCCGGGTGGAAATAACTGAAGCAGATGAAGATGTGGACAGGTTTTGATGTGGTAGAAACATTTTATTAAAATAAATCATAGCAAGGAATTCTCCAGGAAGTAATTATATTCTGAGATTTGAAAAGGTGTTTTGAGAAAAGGCTGGCCTCACATAAGAATCAGGAAACATAAGATATAGCTGAGTAAAATTCCATGATATTTGTAGAAGATTGTTGTGAGGAAGAGCTGTAGCTCTTTGTTTTATATGTAGAAAGTTCCAATTAAATCCCAAAACAAATCTCACAGGCTAGGTAATTATTATTTTTGTGACCTAAAAAGAACTTGAATACAGATAGTTTACTCGACCTACAGAGTAAAGCATATTTTAATTCAGAAGAAACTCTATTTACCAAACATCCAGATAGCCTGCCTTTGTTTCCCAGGTTAAATTATTTTTAAAAAACCAACAGTTTCCAATCATATATTAATTTTACCTTATGTGCCATAACATAATTTCAAATGTGGTCAAAAATTATCCCCAAAGCAGCATGTGTTACCTCAAATTCATAATTCATTGCAAATCAGCACACACAAAAAATTCCAATGCAAGCTAATTAAACATGGTTTAATTAAACATGGTTTAATTAAACATGGTTTAATTAATTAGTTAAATTTCTTGGGAGTAACACAGTCCTCTGGAAATCAATTGGGAATTATCCTTCCTGAAACTTTATTTTATTTATATTTCATATTTCTTAACTGCTCAACTCCCTTAGATTCATTTTATAATTTATTTTCCCAAGAGTTAATTCTTTTTTTGAAGGTGAAAAGAGGGTCTCCCCCTCTCCTGAATACACTTCCAAACTAAGAAGAATGAGGAAGATAAAGTTGGCTAGTTAAAGTACCCTTTTATTTTAATAAATGACATTGTTCATATAAAAAAAATTCACAGATTCTTCTGGTTCTGAAGGAGCCACAAAGCAGCTTCATTTCTGCCTGTACATCCTGATGTTACTTAACCTATTTTAATATCACTGAAGCCTTTGAAAATGAATGAAACTGGAAATAAATCCAAAGTTTTCAAAGACTTTTTTTTTTTAGTAGCAGACTACCCTGTTTCTCCAACAATACGGCCTCCCCCAATAGGAAGTCCCAGCATGTTTTATAGGCATGAAATGAAATTAAGCCCCTCCCCCCAAATTAAGGCCTATATTAAAACATGCGAAATGGGGGGGAATGGTGGTGGGGGGCTTGCCGTTAGGAAGTACTTTTGTTGCACACCCGGATATGGTGCTGCCTGCATTGACCCCGATACGAAGTGCCCCACCAATGCTGAGGTCAACATTCAAGCCGTCGCTGCCCGCCCGCCCAAAGATGCAAGGGGGGGAAATTAAGTCACCCCCGAAAAGACAGCCTAGCCATTTTTTCGGGGCTCAAAAAAAAAATAAGACCCGGCCTTATTATATGAGAAACACGGTACTTAAAGAAATGTGGGGGGGGGGGTAGTAAAGTAAATCTTCAGAAGTATATCTGAAGAAAAATGTAGCAGAAAGAAGTTACAGAAAGACGGCTTAAATCCATCTAAAGCAGTTTAATATAAGTGAAATTAGGGATGGTACACTTTGGGGCCATTGTTCAAGAACAAGGAGACCTGCTTCCCCAAAGCAAAATTATGAAATGCATCATTAAATCACCCACTACAAATATTCAGCTATTAAGCCTCTTGGGACATTCCAGCAAAATAACAAATGGGTGATATAGTACAGATGTAACATTTAAAATAGCTGTCAGCAAAATAGTTCAGCCAACTTAATTGAAAGATATAAGATGTAAATGATGGTAATGAATATCAATGGATAATACAACAATATGGCCCCATCCACGTTTGCAGCAAGATTTTTATTTTTTTGCTGTAAAAAATTATTAGCGTATCATGTTTATTTTCAAAAGTTTATTCATTACCATTGTCTTTTAAGCATTTATTTTATTTTTTTTAAATACCAAGCTATTTCAATCATGGAAAGAATGGAGGCTTTATCTAGTCAGTGCTATGAACAGATAAAAGTTTGTTATTGTTTAACAACTTGCCAAAAATTGTTCCTGAGAAAATAATTTGCCTGGACAGAATGTAGCAAAATGATTTTTAAAAAAAAAAAAAAAAAAAGTTTCTTCATAATGTTACATCAGTATACACCCAAAGTGTGAGCAGAGGAAGGAAAGAACATTGTGCTTTTTCAATTATAGCATGGCTTTTAATAGACAGTAAGATTTGTAATAGTATGTAACCAAAGATTTGTTTTGAGAAAAAGACTGTACGGTTTAGACAGACATAAAAGACACTAATACAATAGCACCACCAATTGGGCACAGCTTTCTTTACTTCACAGAAGACAACAGATCTGTTCTGAAGTAAGATGGCTATTAATGCATATACTAGAAGAAAATGTATAATACAGGTAAATTCTGCATCATAGGTAGGTAGCTCCACATTCTATGGTATTTGCTCCACAGAAATGGCTAGATTGGATAGGTTGTGTAATTTTTGACATCAGTTCCACAGCTTATGTAATTGAGGCGGTCAACAAGTCATGTACTCATGATGTATCCCATAGCTGCTAATTGTCTGGTAGATACATTTAGGTTTTGAAGAGGTAGGCTCTCTCACAAAATGTTGGCTGAGAAAATGGCTTGTCCATACACAAACA